TATAAATTTTATAGATTTTCATTCATGTTTTTCAATTTTTATTTTGAGGATTCGAAAATATTTCATTTTCAAAATAAAAATAATTTGATGATAATTTGTTTGTTTGTTTACATTTTTCTGTCAAATGAGTTGACACTAGTAGAACTTACAACAACAAATTTCCATGTGGTTGTTGTATCGTTTTTTGTACAACAACACTTGCTGTTACCTTCTATTATTATACCATGGATATAACGGTACCCCGAAATATTCCGTATTTTAGGGAGTTATTAAACGAAATGGTCGTTATTTGGTACTTTGAGTTTCCATTGGATAACAATTCTCTTTACAAAAAATTATAAATATTAAACGAAATTGTAAATATTATGAGGATTTATTTTTTAGGGCGTTTTCAATCAAATTTGCATAAATTTAGCATTCTCATAGCATAGCAAATCACCCTACTATAAATTAGCATATTAGTCCATTTTTATTTTTATTATAGCTCTCTTTTTATTTGATATTTTTGAGTATTCAGGGAAGGTTTCGAACCAAATAGGCGATAATACAAAATTGTAAATATTATGAGGATTTATGTTTTAGAGCGTTTTTCAATCAAATTGTCATAATTTTAGAATTATCATAGTATAGCACATCACCCTACTAAAAATTAGCATATTAGTCCATTTTTTTATTATAGCTCTCTTTTTATTTGCTATTTTTGAGAATTCAGGGAAGGTTTCGAACCAAATAGGCGATAAGCATTTACTAGTTTTTACTTTTTTTCCATATCGCAAAGTAAAAAGTCTATTGCACGGGAACAAATTATTTCATTTCAGTTGAACAGTCTAATAAATAGACACTACAAAACTCTATATATTCTTCATTCAAAAACGAACTTATAGAACCCTAAGCTAAACAGCTGTTCGTTTTGATTTCATTTTGTTTGTGAAATCAGCTGATGTTGCAGCAGCAGTGAAATTCAAAAGTGATAGTGTGTACACCGCTTTAGACTTTTCAATACAAGATGTCGAAAATCGGTTTACTTATCCCTACAGCCCAGTTACCCAAACAGCTGTTTGATTCCCCGTCCGCCGACTTTCGACCCCGGCATCCCTATGATAACATGTTTTGTTTTGATTCTCTTTCATTAGTTACGTTTTGGACCTATTTCTGCTAATTTCGAACGCCGTCAAATTTAAAAAATTCCGCCATTGTACTTTTAAATGTTTACCCGATCAGCTGTTTGATTCCCTGAACAGCTGATATTGTTGACAACCAAGCCTAATCGGTCGATTTGTTTTGATTCCCCTATTCGGCCCGATTTTCGACCTAAGAGACACTAATCCTAATCGGTGTTTATTTTGATTCTGGCTTTTATCAGTTACGTTTTGACTCAATTTCGTCAAATCCCACAACGCCGTCAAAACTTTATAGAAACGGCATTGTACTTTTTCAACTTTTTCTTTTAAAAGCCCGTCGCAACCCAAGCAATTCCAGAGGAAGTCTACCGTGCTGATGCCACATTGTTCGTCTTTCCTGGCTGACTGCTACTGCCTTCATTCCAAAGAAACAAAAAGCCCGCATTTAATTATTATTTAAAGTGCTTAATTTACAAAAAAAATACCAAGATAAAATGAGGGTATGTTGCCTCTGCAGGAAGAAATATATTCCTGGTACTGGTTCCTTCTTCGTTGTGCCCAAAGATGAACGTCGGCGCAAACTATGGATAAAGGTGTGTCGAAAGAACTTGACACCAAGCGATATGGTGTGTGGCGATCATTTTCTGCCCAAGGAGATTATCAAGGGTGGCAAGCGTAATATGCTGCTGCCCTGTGCTGTGCCATTTCTGCCAATACAGGATAGTCCGGACGAGGAGGATGAAGAGGAGGAGGAATGTTCTGTGATTGAGTATGTGGAATATTTTGTTGATAATCCTGTGTTATGAATTTAGTTTTTTTTTTATTTAAGAGATGACAATTCAACAACCACAGGTGGTTCAATGTCGCTGAATGGCACAAAAGCGCCTAAAAGGAAGATCAGGAAAAAACATGCTGAGGTGTTTATAGAAAACGATCCCTTGGGTGATCCCGTCGATATGGGAACCCAAACGGAGTAAGTATTGATGGAAAACACAATTTCTGTGTGTCCTTACATTTAAATTGCTCCGTAAAATAGTTCCGTACTTTTTGTAGCCTCCTATATGCAGGAGAATGAACAACACAAGAAGACCATTAAAAAATTGGAAATGGAAATACGAGATTTAAAATTAATGGTACATCAGTTAAACAGCGCCGTCGAGGGTATGCATCAAATATTTACCGAGGGACAGGTGCGTAAGATAATGGGACGAACTAATGTAAATTGGCGATGGCCGGATATTGCAAGTGCTTTGGTGCTGCACCAAAAGGGGCCCAAGGCATATAGACATTTGTATAATAAGGGTTTTCCACTGCCCGCCGTTTCTTCGCTGCAACGATGGTGTAACCGCTACGATGTTGAGGAGGGTGTCCTAAAGACGGCAATTGAATTTCTCAAAAACAAATCTGAATTGGCGGCTGAAGATAAAATTTGTGTTTTGTCATTTGATGAAATGCGGGTAAAAGCGAGTGCTGATGTGGTGGTGGAATCCACCACCAAGACAATGCAAATTGTAATGGCGCGGGGTCTGCGAAAGTCATGGAAACAAATTGTATATTACAATTATGATAATCGAATGAGAGTGGAGACTTTAAATGAGGTAATAAAGGCATTGCAAAATGCTGGTTTTCCTGTTCTCGCCTTGTCGTGTAATATCAACGAGAGGAATTATGCGCTATGGCAGGAATTAAGTGTTAGCACGGGTAAGTAAAATGATTTTTATATTTTTTGAATATTTTTAATAGTGTTTTTTTAGATAAGCCATGGTTTCCAAATCCTTGCAATCCGGAGCAAAAAATCTTTACATTTGCCAATCCCCCACAATTACTGAAATTGCTACACAATCAATTAATGGATACGGGTTTAGTTTGTAATAAAAATCTGTTAAGCTCTTCTACACTCATTGAGCTATTGAATTATCATAAATCTGATGCCAAAAGACGTGTCAAACTTGATTTAACCGATGAGCATTTTTCAGAAGAAGGTTTGTGTTTTTTAGAGTAAATGGTAAATTTGAAAATAAATACGATTTTTATTTTTTTAGCAAAGGAAGACATTAATCTAATTAGGGAAATATTTTCCAAGACCACATCGAATGCCTTGAAACGTTGTCACAGCTTTAAATTGAATTTCTACAAACCATTGGAAATGGCTGATTTTCTATGGCTTATTAAGGAATGGTATGATATTATGAATTCATCTACAGATAATTTACATAGGCCGGGAAAGGTGAGATATACACCATAGTGGGATACACCCATATACAAATTATAGAAATTTGATTATTCATTTTTGTATTTATCCCAAGGAAGCATATGGTAGTGTCTTCCCTAAACAACAGGAAATTCTCGCGGAACTCAACAAATTGGCAGCCGAACCAATGATACCACAAACCAAGGATTTGGCACTTTTCCAAAAAGCCATATTAACAACCAACAATGGCCTGGCAATGCTTCATGAATATATTAAGGATCATTATATGCCTGTGATATTAACTCGTCGTTTAAGTTTAGATGTTATGGATGAATTAAAAAATACTCTCGGTGAAAACAATATCCAAGCCTCTAGTAAAGAACTAAAGCAAAAATTGAGGAGATATATTTTGGGTAAAACAAATGATATTTTATTTTTTTGTTCAAATTTTAATTTTAATTTATTTCCGTTTAAATAGCTCGCAACATAGATAGTATAATAGGGTTTGGTGAGGCTAAACCTGAAACAAATGAGAATCCTTTGAGTTCCGAAAATAGTAATAATAATGATAGCACTGAAGCTACATCATCTCCAACAAACAAAATTGTGATTGCCTCGAAAAAAGCCCCTAAAAAAGCAACAAATACCATTGAAGTCAATACCACAAAATCCCCAAATCTCTCAAACGAAGATGTTGATATGGAGGTCGATGATGGCCACCATCATCATCATGACGATGAGATCGATATGAATGATTTTATACACATACACAATGTTGGAGAAAATGAAGTAATGTTAGAGTATATTCTAGGTAAGTATATATTTTAATATTTATTATTAATTTATTTTTTTAATGAACATTTGAAAAAAAAACTTTTCTTTACCAGAACCCTCAGAAACGCCAACATCAATGGTTACAAATTCCACAACAACTACAACCCAGCCAACTAATACAAACCAAAACCAGCAAAGTATATCCACCGAATCATCGACATCAACAAATATGGTCGTTGACGAATCTGAGGAAGATAATTTTGATGAAATTATCGAACAATTAAATGATTGGGAACAATATTTTCCCACCACTATTGAACCGGTAACAACAGCAACGATACTAACAACAACACAGACGACGACCACAACAACAACGCCAAATTTATTTCCCATTTAATGTTTGCTTTAATATATATTTTTGTATGAATTTTTTGTTTTTTTATCGAATAAAAATTATTTTAAATTATGAAACATATTTTTTTGCTTTAATTTAAAATTACGTTTTCATGTAACATTTTGTACATTTGTTAAATATTGTTAATAAAATAATAATTAATTTTTTCAAGACCTAAACAAGGCATGGCTTTTTTAAAATATTGTTCAATGTTATATTTAAAAAAATATATTTTTTCATGGCGTCAATTTTTAAAATAATTTCTAAAGACCTAAACAAGGCGAGGATTTTTTATAGAATATTTATAAAAAAAATAATAAAAAATCCGTAACGTTGTGAATAATTTTAAAACATTCACCTGAAATGAAAATGCATTTTATTTAATTTTCCAATAGTATTTATATATTTTAATTTGTTTTTTTTTTATTTATATATTACTAAGAAATATAAAATCATATTTTTCTTGTTTTATTTTCTTATAATTAATACCCAACCAATGTAGCTACTCTGCATTGTCTCGTTATTCTTCTTTAATATTTAACAAGCCATCGGCATATTGAAATTCGGGACTATTTTCATATTCACACATGTCCAGGGCAATGACACAGGACTCTTTGACAACACGTTTTTCATCTGCCGCATAACGGCTTAAAATATCTATACACTCCTCGGTGGCAATTGCACCCAGTGCTTCGGCGCATTCATGTCGTACCATTTCATTTTCCAGGCGATCTTCTAAATTCTCTTTGAGATAGGGTATGCTACAGGGTTCTTGTAATTGACCCAAAACAAATGCCACTTCATGACGGAATAGAGCCGAGGCATCTTTCAGGCCCTCGGTTATGGCCAAAACCGATTCTTCCGTTCGCATATTGCGCAAACTGAACATGGCACGATAACGGTCGAAAAGACTTTGTTTGGGATCCAAATAGATTGCCTTGAGTTCATCGACAGTTTTATTTTTCTCAGCCGGGGGTGAGGGATCTACCGAGGCATAGGGATTGTTATCATCCACTTTTTGTCCACTTTGTAACCATTTCACACGATCCAAGGCAATGGAACAAGTTTCGGCTACCTCCACCACGGGATCGTTTTTATACTTCTCCAAAATGGGTATAATTTCAGCATCTCCAATGGCACCCATTGCTTCGGCTGCCTCATGGCGTACCATTGGTTCTTGGCTTGTGTCTTCCAAGACTTTTGTTAGAATACCCAAAGCTTTGCTGTCTTGCATTTGTCCCAAACAATAGGCCAATTCATGTTTGAGCAAGGCTGAATCATCAGCAAAACCACGGCTTATCTCCTCGATGGCCAATTCTCCGCCGAGATTTTTTAACGTGAACAAAGCACGAAATCTTTCCTTTAGTGGACGTTCCTTATTGTTTAGAACTGATCCTATTTTGCGTATTTGTTCCTGGGTTACCATTTTGCCGATTGGATGTCACCTCTCTCTCCCCGTATGAATGAATGTTTATCAACACGTGAGCAGAGAACAAAGTGTAGGGTATAATCGATATGACGGCGTCAAATTGTTTGTTTTGCTGGCGTTTGACATTTTCAAATGGTTTGTATAAGTGTAATCACGGCTGGCCATGTCTAAAAGCCAATTATTGGTTTTTTACACAGAAATTGACAATTGCCAGTGTTATAAAAATTGTTTCATGTTAATTTTATTATAAAATCACCGATATTATGGCTGGGGAACAAATTAATTTTAAATCCTATTTATTTAATAGTACGTTTACATTGTAGTGGATTTCATTAACCAGATAATTTCATTATGCCAGATAAATCCTTATAAAGTAGGTAACCCGTTAAAAAATTATAATGTAAATGTCGCCAATTGAGATTTTCAAAACTTTAAGGTCACAATTGTGCTCATACTTTGACAACTTTACAAAAAAGATTGCAATTATTATTATAGTACGTTTACATTTAACCGGATTTCGTTAACCCAGTTGGTTTCAATTGTCCATTCCTTTACACATATGTCAAATAAATCCTCATAAAGTAGATTAACAAATAAATCCCCAGTCATAATATATGTCAAATAAATCCTCATAAAGCAGGTTAACCCGGTAAAAAGTTCTAATGTACAAGGAGTTTAACCCAGTAAAATGTTCTAATGTATATGCCGTTTTACATTCTGGAATAGAGAACAAGTTCTCCTAATAGAAAGCCATAATTTCAGTGGAAGTCTATTTAGTTTAGTTGTATATTTTTCAATCAAAAAATCCCCTTTTCCAAATTCCAAAATTAAAAGAAAAAATACAAACAACGTATTTATAAAATTGACCCCTTAATGACTTATTTATATGACCATTATCACATTTAATAATCTCTCGACAATGAATTGAGTTCAATTTCTTTATTCGTTCCTATTAGTCAGCAGCCAATAGCTAGTTGGAGCACATCTTCAAGATGCTGATAAAATTTGTTGGTGTTTATTTCATTTTATTTTTATTATTATTAATTCAACAACTGGCCTTTAGTGGAGCAACAGATGAGGTATGGTTTTGAAATTGTTTATTCTTTTATAAATAATATTAAATAAATTAAAAAAAATCGTATTTTTTATCCTCCATTAGCTCTCAGAGTGTGAACAGAATGAACTGGAATTGTATCGCCAACTTTTCCTTCGCTTAAATTTAATCATTAAAAATAATGCTGAGATGAAGAGTGAACTAGGGGATATAAGGGAGCAGTTGAAATCCATGGCAGAAGGGTAAGTTGCGGCGCACTCAATTACGGCCGTGGTGAAAAAATTGTCAAACCCTAAAAAGGTCCGAAATTATAACAAATAAATATATGAAATTTTGCATTTGGAAAAATAATAAATCAATTTTTAATTTTTTATTAAAAAATAATAATACAACAAATATATATACGATTTTTATATATAACGATTTTATAGTATAGAAAGTTTTATTTTTTGCCTTTTTTGTGGGAGATATACTGAAACGTGGACCATGGTAACACTTGTTATCAATCAAAAGTAAACAGACAATTTTCATCGAATTTTACTGAATATTACTGATATGCTATAGGTCAAAAAGCGATTTTTTTTATCCGATTATCCGATATTTTCAGTTTTTCGTCACATGCTTCATAGGCCTAATTGGATATTAAGATTTATATATGCCAAAAATAATGAAATTTTCAAGACCGATTTTATGGCAGGTATACCAATCAAATCTTGGTCCCATCTACCCAGTTATTTGCGACTTGCATAGGGTAAAATACAATTTTTAATTAAAATTGGTTGTGTATTAACGATTTTATTGGTCAAAATTGTGAATTTTTCAAGACCCATTATATGGAAGGTATACAAAATCTTGATCCGATCTATGCAATTTTTTGTCACTAGCTTTTTAGACAAATAATAAGCATTTTTGAAAAATTTCAACCACATACGATAACCGCTTCTATATTAGGCAGCTGTTAATATGAATAGGGCCGAGGAACTTGAATAAATACCGGAAATAGTAGGAGATTATTATTTACGTTTCAAAGCCAGTTTAATTATTTTCCCCTTTATATATTTTCAGCTACAATACCAGAACGGAATGTTCCTGTGGTGGCTACACCGACAAATTTTTAGCTGACAAATTCCCCAATTTTGGCAACGATTGGATAACAATACAACGGCGTTTTAATGGAGCCGAGAATTTCGACCGCCCATGGTTAGATTACAAAAATGGTTTTGGAAATAATCAACAAGAATTCTTTATTGGTTTGGAAAAACTATATACCCTAACTCAATCCAGTCCGCATGAATTGCTCATAGTTCTGCAAGATTTTGATAATGTTGTACGATATGCCCGCTATGATATCATACGATTGGGTTCAGAAAATGAAAAATATAGTATCAAAGAATTGGGAAAATATTCGGGTACAGCGGGCGATTCTTTGAGTTATCATAAAAATGCAAAATTTTCAACATCGGATCGTGACAATGATGGGCATGCCAGTTTAAATTGTGCCCAGAAATTTGGTGGTGGCTGGTGGTATCAGGCATGTCATGAGAGGTAAGTTCGGAGGTCACAAATAATATATTTTTATAAATTAATATTTTGTTTATTTTCAAGCAATCTGAATGGACATTATATCAAAACTGATCACGATCTCAGCTATGCTTCTGGCATTCATTGGAAAACTTTCCGTCCCAATTGGTATTCTTTGAAATTTTCACAGATGATGGTGCGACCAAAATCAAATAGGAACAGAAAATAGAAAAAACGATCTAATAAGTTTTTTTTTGAAGAAATAATAAAAGTTGCAAGGTATGATTTGTAAAGTTGTGTTCGTTTAAATTTTAAGGCAAATTGCGCACTGGCTTCTGTAAGGCGAGGATTTTTCAGGAATAATTGTTTCCATGGGCATGGATTTTTAAGGAATATTTTTTCCCCCAGAGCTCTTAAGATGCTGATTTTTAAACAATATTCTTTTCCCAGAACTCTTAAGGCGTAGATTTTATAGAATAATTTTTCCCAGAGCTCTTAAGGAGCGCATTTTTAAAGAATATTCTTTTCCCAGAAGCCTTAAGGTGCGGATTTAAAGCGTTGCAAAAAAGCTTGTCATGGTCGATGTATCAATCCTAACCTCAGCCTCTTTATTCACATTTTTGTTTTTTTCTTTTCGATTTTTTCAACGTTGTTTTTCTCTCAGGATGATCAAAAATGGTCATTGCTGAGTTATCACACCTAACCTCAAACCTCTCTTCTCCCGTTTTTTTTTTTTTTGCATTTTTATTTAATTTTCCGGATAAACACCATGAACCACTGGTCTCTGAGTAAAATAACTGCTAATATGGCATCCGAGCATACTTATTTTAACCTAACCACTTGACTTCAAACTTTAACCTAACTTTTTGTGACACCAATGTCTCAGGCAATGTATCCTCATACTCGCAAATTGTTTTCTTTTTCCTTTCATGTATCCTCATACTCGCAAATTGTTTTCTTTTTCCTTTATCCCACAAACTGTCTTGCCAGAAACAAAAATTAGAAACCATGAAATCGTGTCTTGGTAATAAAATATTTCGCGTGACTCTTATCAATTTGATCAATTTGTAACTGTCATATTGGATTAGCATCTAAACACACCTGAGAATGGGAACACCAGCCCCACAATTATGGCGAACTAGAATGCAATCAAATACACAAATTTAATGGTAATATTTCGATTGATTTGATTGGCAAAAAATGAAACCGCAAGTTAAACACGGAATAACATAGCTATTGAAATGTCGTTTGTTCCGACAACACGACAAATTAGGAATACAAATTAAGAATTGGAATTGGAAGGATGTTTCCATATCATGTTTGTCATTCGAATACATTTTATTTCTTTTTTTTATTTTAGAGAACCTGTCAGTTCTAAACCATGGCCTCCAAATATTACCACGAACAGCTGTGTGAAAAATATAATAATCCCTCAAAATCGGAATGTAATGGTTGGCGTAGTACCTTTTATTATCCGGGCGGTGGAAATTATCGCGGTTATTGGTCAAGATCTCAACATCATCGTTTTGGTGTCAAAGAATCGAAAAGCCATCTCATTTACGACGGCCAATGGAAGGAGGGAAAGAGACATGGTTGGGGTATGATGCGTCGTCGTTTACAAAATGGTACAATGGAGAGGATATATGCCGGACAGTGGCAAAACGATAAAAAGTGTGGTGAAGGGAAACAATTTTATGCGGATGGTAGCATCTATTATGGTTGGTGGTTGGATAATCGTCGCCATGGTTTGGGAATACAATGGTATGGTTCGGGTGAGATATATTTGGGTGAATGGCAGGTGGATGTACGGCATGGTTTGGGTGTTATGTTTTATGGTGAGCAAATTAATTCTATTAATATTTGAATTTTATAAATTATTTTTGTTATTTTATTGTAGCAAATGGCAACCGTTATGAGGGCTATTTTGCCCGGGGCTTTAAAAATGGTGAGGGCACATTTTATCACATGCTCAGTGGGCAAATACAAAAAGGCATATGGCAAGATGATATATGCAAGGTATCGATGCTGCAGGATGAATTTCGTCAACAGACCCATAAACCTACACCATATCCCATACCTCTCGTAAGTAAAAAGAAGCTAGCAGAAGAATTTTTAGTAAGAAGGAGTAAAAAGTCCTATACATCTACTGCTATAAGCAGTAGGACGGCTACAACTACAACATGTCTTAATAAACAGCAAACTTTATCCGCATTTTTGGTTTAAAATTCGCAAAATTAAAATAATTTTGACAGCTCTAGGGGAAATCATCTGGCCTTATCGGACAACCATGAGCCATAACAACAACAGCTGACACCCTGATGTGTTTATCCGATAAAGCTATGTCAAAAAAAAATGTTATCAGACCTAAACTCAAACCTCTCCTCACCATATTTTTCCTTTTTATTTAATTTTCAAGATAAACACAAATGACTACTGGTCTCTGGGTAAAGCAACTGCTAATATGGCAGCCACACAGGAACTTTAAAGACTATAAACTCATATTTCAGGAGATTTTAAGTTCATTCTTTATAATTGACGGATCTCGCACTATATAACCTCACTTTCTAAATCATCTCTGAAATACCCCCATAAATCTTTCTAAAAACAAATACCAAAATCTTTATTCCCTTAAATTTCAGTTACGTCTGGCCTGTCCCACGGAATTTATTCGTAAACTTTTTGCCGACTATAATGATCGTGTGAAAATCTCATGCAATTCCCCGAAGGTAAGTTTGGATAATTTAAAAATAAATTTCTCTTTTTTACAAACTATTAACCGAAAATTAGGCATTAAATTGTTTAAAGTTTGTGGAGAAATTTCGAATGCATATCAAATTAGAACCCAAAGCTATGACAAAATCCAAATTCGTATTGGATGATTTAGATGTTCCGTGTACATGCAAAATGCGTGAGAAATTAATACAACTTCGTGAATTATAAAATGCGGCTATTTATTTTAATTTGTATTATTTCGTGAAGAATTACTAAAATTTTGTAAATTTGTTGTTGTTTTTTTCGAACAGGTCTTTCAAAAAATTAACAAATAAAGGATAACAAAACTAAATGGAAAAGTTGTTTTATTAAAAAAAGGATATTTAAAAATATATATGGGATGCCAATAAGATCCCAACTCTGTAAGTGACCACGGAAGCATCGGCCTCCCTTTTCATAACACTATGGAACTTGAGAAATGTGGTATCAAGAAGAAGATCTGCTGAATTTTGTTAGCGGGGTTGCCCGTTTTTCCGATATCGATTGCTCCAATGCCTATAATGCTTGTCAAAATTTTTGTGAAATGACTTCTATTATAAAAATGTCAACAAAGACCAAATTTTTGACATTAGACTTGTGAAAAAACGCTGAATTTTGTTAGCGGGGTTCCCTCATTAATATATCATAGATAACTAACTCATTGGATAACACTTTTTACAGGACATAAAAGGTATTGAAAATCACAATTTTCCGGACCCTGCCAGAGCATACAACCCTGTTACCCAAACAGCTGTTGCATGGCCTATAAATAAGTTCACCCAGGCAGACCAGCTGATAAAGTTTGCTGTCAAAATGCATTATTGTGAATTGACATCCATTATGAAAACGTAAACAAAGTCATGACATTAGACTTGCAACTGCTGACGTTCCTCGCAGAATCAAAACAAAACAAGAATTTTTTTAATAAGATTCAAATAGTAAAAATACTGTGAACCACCCTGTGAACCCTGTTTTCGCACGTCATCGATAACATCGATAACACAACAGCTGATAGAAAAACAAAACAAAAATAACCAGCTGATATTGTTGTTGAGCAGGCCTAATCGGTCGATTTGTTTTGATTCCCCTATTCGGCCCGATTTTCGACCTAAGAGACACTAATCCTAATCGGTGTTTGTTTTGATTCTGGCTTTTATCAGTTACGTTTTGAAGCAATTTCGTCCAATTCCACAACGCCGTCAAAACTTTAGAAACGGCATTGTACTTTTTCAACCAACGCCACGCCAATTATTTTTATTATTTTATTAATTTATTAATTTTAATTAAATTCAAACGAGGAAACAGAGGATTTACAAGACAGATAAGCAGAGGAGTTACAAATCTACGCCTTAAAAAAAACAGGAAACAGTATTGTATTGTAAGTATTGAATAATTTCTGAAAAGATTTCCGGAACTTTGGTGCATCATATACATATATAAATATATACGGGAGCTATATCTAAATCTGAACCGATTTTTAGGAAACTTTGCATACATCATTCTATACTCAATGCAGTACGCTGTACCAAATTTCGTGCAAATCGAAACATATATAGGGACTTTGGTGCACCATTTACCTGAAATCGGACGAAAATATATATGGGAGCTATATCTAAATCTGGACCGATTTTCACGAAACTTGGCAGACATCACTCTAGGCTCAGTTCAGTAATTTATGCCAAATTTCGTGCAAATCGAAAGATGTATTGGGACTATGGTGCAACATTTACATTAAATCGGACGAAACTATATAGAAATCTGGACCGATTTTCACGAAACTTGGCAGACATCATTCTAGGCCCAATTCGGTACGCTGTACCAAATTTCGTGCAAATCGAAACATATATAGGGACTTTGGTGCACCATCTACCTGAAATCGGACGAAAATATATATGGGAGCTATATAGAAATCTGGACCGATTTTCACGAAACTTGGCAGACATCATTCTAGGCCCAATTCAGTACGCTGTACCAAATTTCGTGCAAATCGAAACATATATAGGGACTTTGGTGCACCATCTACCTGAAATCGGACGAAAATATATATGGGAGCTATATCTAAATCTGGACCGATTTTCACGAAACTTGGTAGACATCACTCTAGGCTCAGTTCATTAATTTATGCCAAATTTCGTGCAAATCGAAAGATATATTGGGACTATGGTGCAACATTTACATTAAATCGGACGAAACTATATATGGGAGCTATATTTAATATGAACCGATTTTCGATTTTCAGGAAACATAATTCCGTGGACTTAGCTGACCGCTACTGCCCCAACAGCTGCTAATTCTATTCAAACACAATTAAAAAGAAATCAATATCAATATTCCATTAACCGAAAAATGGATATTTCCGCACTATCCGAAGATAAATTCGATGCTGTCGATTGGATAAATGAAAATTTCAAAAAATATAGTGAAGAAAACAAATCATCAACTGCCGGTGGTCGGAATACAGACCAGACTTCTGCCGGTGGCGAAGGTAATGATCGAGTGGCCATTGAATTCATCAATAGCTATGTTTCCAAACTCCAGCTGTATGTCCAGCAAGTGAATTATGCTGTGGAGGAGAGTAGCCAACAATTGGTAGCCAGTTTACCGAAAATTGTCAAAGATGTTAAGGCCTTGCATACGGATGTTCGTGCGCTGCAGGGTCGTATGTTGGAAATGCGTCAGGAGGTGGCTGCAGTGCAGGAGGAAACCGGTGAATGTATGGCCACATTGGAGAAATTGAATTCAAAGCAAATTAAATTGCAGACTGCAAAGGAGTCGCTGCAGGAATCGGATGGTTGGGGTAATTTAATATCCCAGCTGGAGGATAGTTTTGAAAAGAATGATTTGAAGGTGAGATTTTTTTTGGGGAATTTCAATTACTTTTTTACAAGGGAATAGATTATGCAGAATAACCTTTAATATGTGGCATCTTTTTCATAGAAAATCAGTAAGGAAAGTAGTAAAGTCGGAATGGGCCGACAATATGATACACTTCACCACTTTGGGTATATTCTACATACATACATATTCTACATATTCTCATAACAGACGTCGGCTTTTCGAAAGAACATTTGCATGAAATTGAACGAAAGATATATAAGAACATCGGTGCACCATTTCTATTAAAACGGACGAAAAAATATATGGGAGCTATATCAAAAACTAGTTCACAAAACATAAAACACATCATTCTAGACACAATTCAGTACCCTATGCCAAATTTCGTGCATATCGAAAGATATTTAGGGACTTGGGCGCATCATTTACCTTAAATCGGAGGAAAATATATATGGGAGCTATATCTAAATCTGAACTGAGTTTCACGAAACTTTACGTACGTCATTCTAGCACACGCTATGCCAAACTTCTAAATACTTATATATTATTCTATAAAGCTCTAAATCCGCAAATTTTTCCTAAATTTCGTCCTTGCAAAATTTCATCTAAATCGGATATATATGCGACCTGTACTTTGTTTACAATTTAACATCCACGGATGGATGGAGGGACACCATAAATCTACATAATTCTATGCATATTCTCAAAAGGAACCATGGGTCTATCTCGTTTCCATGGGTCTATCTCGTTTACAGTTTCGCTCGTCTTTTTCATCATTTTCAAGGTCCTAACCCAATTTTTTAACTTGATATCTAAGATTTTTTAATAAAAAATCGGTATTCCTTTTTGTCGATTTAATCTCAATTTTTCTTTCCTTCCCTTTACAGAGCGTTTGTGACAAAATTGCCGCCTTGCAAAAGAGTTTGCAAGCCCAAGAACAGCTACCCGGTCACGAAGATCGCAAATCTCAAGTAGAAGATTTTAAAAATCGCCTAGAAGCTTTGGCCTCCCCCAGCCTCGTGCAATGCTTTGCCGAAGGTAATATCGAACAAGCGCAACGTTATGTCAATATCTTTGCGGCAATTGAAAGGAAACCACAGCTTCTTCAATATTATTCAACGGTGCAAAAAACAGCATTACAACAACAATGGAAACAAACTCTCGAGATCCAAGCCACTGAGACGGTGGGCCAGCAACAACATTTCCTTAACCTCTTCTATGATCAGTTGCTGGAAAATTGTCAAAAACAAGTTAAATGGTGTGCTCAAGTGTTCGGAGGAGATGAGGAGGCCATACAGCAGCCATTACGGATGTTAGCAGAATTATTGCCATCTCTGCAACCCTCTCGAGATAATCACATTCTGCAGTTACTGAAAACCTGCAATGAACGATTGGAACTGCTGCAACAATTTGCCCAAGCTAATCACAATTTTGTGCTGCAATTAAATGCCTATCTGGAACAGTCGTCAATTGAACTAAGTGAAGATCTGAAGCAACAATTGTCCCATTCGATCTATGAATATTTCCATAAATTCATACAACAATACCCACGACTGGAAGAGACCCACCTCTCCACGCAAGTCGATAAGGTTTTAGTTTCCCAGTCACATGCCAGTGATGCTGTACGCCACCTGAAGGATAGTACCAGTAAACTCTTCGATTGGCTACACGAAGCTCTGCAACGTTGTAACAATATTACCAATGACCTGGCTCTCTGCAAGCTCATCAATTTATTGGGTGGCATTTTCAAGCGGCTCCTTGAACAATTTGCCAAAACTCAACGCCAGCTGACATTGAATATTGGTTCGAATGCCAATGCAGCAAATTCCGATAGCAACTGGTCCATGTTGCAATACACTCTGGCCCTATTGGAATGTCTGGCAGATTATCATCAAAAATTGCAGAAGTTTGAAAAGACCCTGCAGGAACGTTTGATGCAACTTAAATTGAAATTAGAAGAATCGCCCAAGAAGACATTAAATATCTATCAAACATTTGATTCGGGAGAAAGGCATAGACTCTTGAAAAATATTGAGGACTTACAGCAAAAACGCTTGGAGGATAATACCTCGACAACTGTGGGTATCTTCAGCAATATTTATGAGTCGCTGAAAACTTTCTTCACTGAAACACACGATATCACCTTGAATATCCTACTACAACCGCTGGAATCCCATTTGGCGGAGATACAACCTCCCGCTCAATTACAGCAGGGCCACATGCAAGATATGCCCGCCTTTAGTTTTGCCCCCCAAGAAAGTATTACACAAATTGGCCAATATCTTCTCACCCTACCACAACATTTGGAACCTTTACTACTGTCACCCTCCACACTACTCAAGCAAGCCTTGGAAATGTGTCATATTAAATATGCCCAAGCCATACCCTCAGCAGATATTCTCCTCTCGTTGGTTGTGGCCCAATGCTGTGTCCTCTATCAATCACAAATTTTACAAATCAAATCGATATCGAATGCCTCCTCAAAGCAATTGGCTGTCGACATTGAATATCTATCAAGTGTTGTCGAAGAATTGGGTTTATCTCTAACAACGTCATTAACTCAAATCTTGACACTGCTCAAGGCTTCACCGGAGAATTATTTGTCTCTGAGTGCGGGTTGTGAGCCACGTTTGGTAACAGCCATTCGGCAAATGCGCAATATTATCTCAACACAATAAGAGACGCGTGTGGCTAACGGTTTTCAACTGTATTTTCTATAATTTATGACTGTCTACCAGCTAGCCGTGTTTAATGCGTCTCTGTGTTGTAATTATTATTACTAGAAATTAAGAATCGCTTTTTTTGCGTAGGCATTCCGAAGAATTTTATTTTTATGTTGTTTACAACACAAACACATAATTTGCATAGTCTGTCATATGAAAAAAAATAATAAAAATAACAAGTGGCTGGTCTAACCGCATCGAACGTCATTTACCATATATGGAAGTAAATTGAAAATGCAGCAGTTACAACAAATCAATTTTTGTTCTCAATAAATACTCTATCAGAAAAAATATGCCAACTAAAAATCGGATACATTTGTGGATGTGGTTACCATAAGTGGAAGCAAGCAGCAGAAGAGGTAAGCAAATCTATATTTTTATATACTAAAAAGTATACATTTCGAAATTTAAAAAGGGTTTTCCAATATTGCACCATTCTCTTTCTATAAAAGTTTTTCAAGATTCGCCTTAAAGTGTGACTTACAATTCTTAATAGAAAACATTTTTTATCTTTAACTGCTTTTTTAGAAATCTTTTCCGGAGGGTATTTAAAACCTAATCCTATCTTTAACTGTCTTTGTTTAGAAAACTATTCCGGAGGCTATCATCAAATCATTTTAAATATTCAAGACTTGTATGAGCCTTGGAAAAAAATATTTTTTTTTTTTAAATTCAGGATTTGTCGGAGCCTCAAAAAAATATGTTTTGAAAATCCAGCCTTCTAGGAGCCTTAAAATAATATGTTCCGAAAATCCAGTCATTTTAGGAGCGTTGAATAAATGATTTTAAAAATCCAGGCTTTAAAAAATCATTTAAAAATTCAGGCTCTAAAAAAAATCATTTTAAAAATCCACGCCTTGAAAAAAATGATTTAAAAATCCACGACTTGAAAATATATGCTACACAAATCCACGCCTTATGAAAGTCCCTGTAAAATATTCTTTAAGAAATCCCCGCATTCTTATAGTCCTATAGCCATTAAAAAAATATTTATTTAAAAAATCCCCGCATATAGTTCTATAGGCCTTGAAAAAAATATTTATTAAAAAAATCCACGCCTTCATATAGTCCTTAAAAAAATTATTTATTAAAAAATCCGAGTCTTCTCATACCCCTTGATTTTTTTTAATCCAAGCATTCTTATAGTCCTAGTAAAAATATTTTTAAAAAATCTACGCCTTTACTAGTCCTTGAAAAATATTTTTATACTAGCATATGCCCGCAACTTCGTTAGCGAATGTAGGAAATATTTAAAAGTGTATTAACATCGACCATAAATTAAATTTGAGTACCATTTAGTACCAAATTTCATGATTCGAGCTCTAAAGATTCCCCCCATAGATATAATCCATCCTGCACCCCCACAGTGATCCTAAATCCAAGTTTCAGGATTCTAACTCTATTGGTTTACCCACAATTTAAATTTAGTACACAGTAGTACTTATTTCTATAACCTCCTTCCTCCCCTAAATCTACACTCCCACAGTCATCCTAAATCCAAGTTTCAGGATTCCAACTCTATTGGTGCACCCGCAATTCAAATCGTACCAAATTTAGTACATAGTTGTACCAATTTCCAAAACTTCCTACATACCCCAATCCTATACCCCCACAGAGATCCAAAATCCAAGTTTTAGGATTCCAACTTTATTGGTTGACCCACAATTCAAATTGTACCAAATTTAGAACAAAGTATTACGAATTTCTAAAACTTCTTACTTTACCCAAACCAACACCCCCACAGTGATCCTAAATCTAAGTTTCAGGATTCAAACTCTATTAGTTAACCCCCAATTCAAATTGTACCAAATTTAGTACAAAGTAGTACGAATTTCAACCAAAATTTAAATTTAAATTGTACCAAATTTAGTACACATTAGTACAAAATTTCTAAAACTTCCTACATATTTCAATGTTACACCTCAACAATTTCATTATTCTAGCTCTATTGGTTCATCTAAAATTCAAATTGTACCAAATTTAGTACCATTTAGTGCCCATAAGTATTAATTTGTTAAACTGTATACTGACCCTAATCCTACATCCCTACAATGATCCTAACTCCAAACTTCATTGTTTCAGCTCTATTGGTCCACCGAAATCCAAATTGTACCAATTATAGTACGATTTAGTACTTTTCGTACACATAAGTGAAAATTTCCAAAATAGTGTACATATCCCAATCCTACACTCCGACGGTAATGTTACTTTCAATTTTCAGGATTCCAGCTCGATTTGTACCTCCAAATCAAATTTGTACTAAATATAGTACCATATAGTACTTTTCATACACATGAGCACACGCTTTCCAAACTCTCATCATATCGACCCTAATTCTCAATCTTAATTTGCATTCCAAATGTCAAGTTTTTACCTCAATCCATTCACATGCTACGAAATTGTACCAAATTTAGTACATTTCGGATACTTATATTTCGAATTTCCAAAAACACTTTGCTACACCTATCCTACACTCCATCAGCGACCACCAATCCAAATTTCAGAGTTCTAGCTCTACCGGTTCGCCAAATACAAACGGTATCACATTTAGTACTTCTTAGTACAGTTTTCTAGTACGAATTTCCAAAAACCCAGCCTTATCTGTCACCTTTGGACCAAGATGGATCCCCACCCAAAATTTCAAGATTCTAGCTTTAGCCGTTTCGTTTGGGCGTTGATGAATCCTTAAATCAGTCAGTCAATCACTTTACTCTTTTATTAGTATAGAATCACGCCTTGGTTAATGCTTGAAAAAAATACATTTTTTTTTAAAATAAGATTTATTTATATTTTTAAATAATATTTTTTAACTTAAATTTTATTATTAATTCACTATTGAAATAACCTTTTTGTTCCATTTATCCCATTGTGTTATTAACTAACTGTATGAAACAAGAGAAATATACCGCAAAAATACTCTTCATATTAGCAATTGAAATTCTCATCACTCTCACTCACATGAGATTATCCTCTTTGTTTCATTTAATATGCGGGCTCCCCACAACAACAACAAACAAGATCCAACTGGTTTCTATTGTGCGTTCTCCTCCATGACGCGACTAACTAATACACTCTCTCGCTCTTTGTCTCATATTTAATGTGTATGACTAAGAATCAGTTCTCTCTCTCTCTCACTGGCATTGTTATTACCATCCGACTTAACTCATAATAATAACTAAACAAGACAACGGCATCAGTTATAGCATAACCAAGTACCAGTGAATACGTGTTTCTTCCGGCGCAAATAAGCAAAAGGCGTGCAAGTTTGTTTTTGTTCAGTGTGTCTCAATGACAGAAGACCAATCGACCAATTTTTTTGTAGAGCGCTCAGTTGTGAACAAAACATAAAGTGTTTATTTCTCTGTTGAAAAGGAGAAGTCCACAGAAAGTTCTTGAATTGAAAAGAAAAAAAATAAATTCAAAAAATACTTTACATATATAAAAAAGAAGAAGAAAATAAAAATATATTTTTTGGAAAATAAATTTGTTATAAATAGTGTAAAGAAGATACATATAAAGTGTGTGTGTGACAAAACAATTCCACAAACAAAACGTCATCTATTGTTCTCTTGTGAAACAAAAACACGGAACAAAACAGGCAAGTAGAAATGAAACAAACCAACAACAAAATAAAAAAAAAATATTGCGTATGCATTCAAAGCCTGTCATACAATTTAGAAGCGCGAGGTCAATGAATCATCGTCGGTTAGCGTTTCTAACAATCCCCATAGTGTTTTTGGTATATATTTTTTAATGTCAATTATTTATTTTAAGTGTTTTTTGAGTGTTCCAAAAACAGCAATTACTCTGCCCTCCATTTCAATTACTACCTACCCACTTTTGTTGTCTCCAGTGAAAGTTTGTGTACTCCGAAAAAAGTAGTAATAGTTATAGTGATTGCATCTTCCGCCGCCAATATCAACTACCACAAGGCAAAGCAAAACAAAACGGAAAACTAAAAACAACAACTACAACAACAATTGTTAGTTGATGAGTCTATGTGGCGGCTTGTGATTATGCACTTGCATTTCTCCATGGCAACAAAGTAATATTAATGAAAAAAAAATTGAAATAATTTTTTCCAAAGAATAATTTTTATTAAGAATAATTTTTTTAATAATATTTTTTTAAGGATTTAGATTCTTCGATTTTTTCCAAGCACTTAGAGTTGCTCACGCCTTAAAGACCTTCGAGGCGTGATTTTAAATTTTTTTTTCAAAAAAGCTGGATTTTTATAACCTACACAACTATGTTGTCAGGGTATTATAGCTTAGTGCAGCCTCAAGAGTTGTTAACGCCGCGAAATATTGGCCTTAGACCCACCTTTAAGTATACCGATTGTCATATCTCGACTAGGTGAGTCGATCTACACATGTGTGTCCGTCCGTCCGTCTGTCCATTATAATTTGTAAACACGATAGAGTTATGGACCAATCTTAACGAAATTCTGCATGTAGAATGGGTTCTGACCAATGAAGACCCCTATTGTTTTTGGTAAAGATCGGTTAATATTTAGGGGATGAAATGGACCAAATACTTAATTTTCGTCGGGTTTTTCTGATCGCTCCAGAGGTCACAATTATGTCCCAAACATCGCAAAGTTTTACATGGCCAAAGAATAAGCATGCATGTTTTGATAAAGATCGGTCAATATTTAGCGGGCCCTGACTTTTGTATGTAAAATGCATTCTATTGCGTATATATTTACCCCTGAAGGACATAGACCCGCGATGTTGATAGTATATCCAAGAGGATTGGTTGACCATAAAAATTAAACCAATTATATGGTCGTATGTACTACGTACTGAGATATTATTTAGTAACCCATTACCACACTAGAGGGCGGCAGTTGTGGTCAAGAATAGCGCCTATATTTATCGATGATGATCACATAATAATTTTGGGATGAAGTGGACCCAAAACTTAATATATATCTATAGTCCACAATTATAAGCCGAACATCACAACGCAACT